TTTGGACCTACAGAATAGGGTATGTATAGTGATGAATACAGGGTACCGTATTCTCCTGAGTCTAAGTCACACCTGTTTGAATTTCTTACTGCGCTCGCTCTCAAAATTAACAAGTTTATCAACCAGGTTTCTTTGCTGTATTTCTACTGGGTCATGTTTTACTTAGCCTTTGAGTGTTCACACACACAAGGAGTACCCACAATGCAGCAATTTATACATCAGCAGCTGTCAAAAGGCCACTTTCTGCGATGAATATGTGGCTCAAAAATCTTTAATCTTACTGGTAGGAAGATCAGAGTCACTTGATTCAGAATGTACTGCACTTGTGCACATTTTCCGGAGTCTAAGTCACACCTGTTTCTCATTTATGGCACAACTAACCTGATAGGGATTGGTCAGCTATGGTCGGATCTAGAACTGTTCGTGATGTCTTAGATTACTGATATACCACTCTATCTTGAAGAACAATATGTATGCCCTTCTTGGTTGCCATTCTCCAAAGACATCTGATGAAAATCAGTTTGGGCATTAACACATCACTGATGGCTATCACTATAATTGGCAGTCAAATGGAAGTTATCTGAATTTCATGATTATGACTGGCACTGCATATTAGCAATAGCATAGCTGATGTACTCTAATGAGCTTGTGCTAACAACTAAAATAATGAAAAGCACAAAAGTGCAAACCCTAGGCGAACTGCGCATGCGCAGTACCGCTAATGAGTGGGCTGGGCTCATTAGTATGCGTTTACTCGTGATCTCCTGCTAGTAGCTCGTGGAGAGTCTGACATGGGCTAGCTACAGTAGTAGATAGCATGCGTTAGTCAATTCACGCCCTTCGTTGTGGCTTCTTATGCCTCCAAGGTACACAGAGCAAAAGCGCTCGAGGTATGCCAGTGTTAATTAGCAATTGGCTTGTTCACTTGGTTTTCATGCCATAACTTCTGAACGCGGCACTACGAAAATCGCCTATTTAAAAAAAAGGCAGTGCAGCGCTGAACCCGTTGGTGTCGCTATTTTACCTGTTTGTTGCACGTGGTGGCAAAAATATGGTAACGAAAAGACGGACATACTGACAGACCAAGTACTGTAACCCTCGCTGGCACGGGTGCCTAGGGTTAATAAGAAGTAAGTCTTCCTGATTTACATGGTTACCACTCTGGCTACATGAAACAATATACCATGTGATGCCAAAAGAAAAAAGATGTGGAGCTCTGGACAGCTGTTTCTGGCTTGTTGGCCCTCATCAGCAGAGCATACCCCAACTTCTCTCTCTGCCACCACGAGTTTATAAAGGCTCAGTTGAGCGTAGCAGTTGTGGTTTTGAACTAATGAGATTCATCCCCACAAGGCTTTGCTCAGGCGCAGTGCTTGTAGTTCTGAACTAATGAGATTCATCCCCACAAGGCTTTGCCAGTACCGAGCCAAAACCCGAAATCAAAAATACTGACATAATGGATTGGGCCGCGGGTATACAAACCATTTTGTATGAAAAGAGTTTTTCAGCAGTTACGTGACTCTCTGAATGTTGGGTGAAGTACAGTAGCTCAGCAGTTTACTGACTCAGGCATTGAATAGAGATGACACATTATGGTGAACCCGTCTTTCAAAACTAACTATCAACTTTTGCCAAGTTTTCTAGATGAAAGTTCTTAATCTTGGTTAACTCTCATCACACAGGTTGGGGACTCAGCACTGATGGAAGCAGCCTACTGGGGTAAGACTGATGTTTTGGTGGAGTTGGTGAAGGGAGGAGCCAATTTGGACCTACAGGATATGGTGTGTATAGTGATGAATACCGGGTACCGTATTCTCCTGAGTCTAAGTCACACTTTTGAATTTCTTACTGTGCTCGCTCTTAGAACTGATAAGCAGTTTTCTATGCTGTATGGCTACTGTGCAACTTTTAACTTAGCCTTTGAGTATGTACGTACGTACTGTACCTCAATGCAGCAATATGTACTTTTACATTGGGGTGCAAGCCATTTTCCACCATGAATTATGGTTAGGAATTTTAAAAACAATATTACTCAACCTTACTGGTAGGAATATCAGAGCCACTTGAATGTACTGCACGTGTGCATTTCATGACACTGGCGTAGGAAAAACGCAAATTCGCATACATAGAGATGACACATTGTTTGTTGTCAAGTTGCATGTGGCGGCAGAAAACGTGGTAACAGACAGACAGACAGACAGGCACAAAAACTAACAAACCAAGTACCGTAACCCTCGCTGCGCATGCACGCCGAGGGTTAACTAGAGCGTTTAACTCTGTAGCATAACTTGTTCGCCTCCTCTAGTGAAGATGAGAGAGAGGAAGAATCTCCTTTGCCATGGAATCTACATGTACATATCTCTAACACTCTGAGCCTTACTGGTCGGAAGATCAGAGCCACTTCATCATGAATGTTAATACACCTGTGTATTCTATAATGAGAATCTCTCATCACACAGTATGGGGAGTCAGCACTGATGAGAGCAGCCTGGGAGGGTAAGACTGATGTTGTGGTGGAGTTGGTGAAGGGAGGAGCCAATTTGGACCTACAGAATAAGGTATGTATAGTGATGAATACAGGGTACCGTAGTCTCCTGAGTCTAAGTCACACTTTTGAATTTCTTACTGTGCTCGCTCTTAGAACTGATAAGCAGTTTTCTATGCTGTATGGCTACTGTGCAACTTTTAACTTAGCCTTTGAGTATGTACGTACGTACTGTACCTCAATGCAGCAATATGTACTTTTACATTGGGGTGCAAGCCATTTTCCACCATGAATTATGGTTAGGAATTTTAAAAACAATATTACTCAACCTTACTGGTAGGAATATCAGAGCCACTTGAATGTACTGCACGTGTGCATTTCATGACACTGGCGTAGGAAAAACGCAAATTCGCATACATAGAGATGACACATTGTTTGTTGTCAAGTTGCATGTGGCGGCAGAAAACGTGGTAACAGACAGACAGACAGACAGGCACAAAAACTAACAAACCAAGTACCGTAACCCTCGCTGCGCATGCACGCCGAGGGTTAACTAGAGCGTTTAACTCTGTAGCATAACTTGTTCGCCTCCTCTAGTGAAGATGAGAGAGAGGAAGAATCTCCTTTGCCATGGAATCTACATGTACATATCTCTAACACTCTGAGCCTTACTGGTCGGAAGATCAGAGCCACTTCATCATGAATGTTAATACACCTGTGTATTCTATAATGATAATCTCTCATCACACAGAGTGGGGACTCAGCACTGATGGAAGCAGCCCCGGCGGGGTAGACTGATGTTGTGGTGGAGTTGGTGAAGGGAGGAGCCAATTTGGACCTACAGGATAAGGTATGTATAGTGATGAATACAGGGTACCGTAGTCTCCTGAGTCTAAGTCACACATGTTTCAATTTCTTACTGTGCTCGCTCTTTTTAACTATCAAGCAGTTTCCTTTGCTGTATGGCTACTGTTCAACTTTTAACTTAGCCTTTGAGTATATACTGTACCTACAATGCAGCAATGTGTACTTTTACATTGGGGTGCAAGCCATTTTCCACGATGAATATGGTGGGGAATTAAAAAATAATATTACTCAACCTTACTGGGAGGAATATCAGAGCCACTTCATCTTGAATGTACTGCACATGTGCATTTCATCACACAGGTGTGAGAAAAATGCAAATTCACATGAAGTACCGTAACCCTCGCTGCGCATGCACGCCGAGGGTTAACTAGAGCGTTTAACTCTGCCCGTCAGTTGTAACTACTATACATAACTTGTTCGCCTCCTCTAGTGAAGATGAGAGAGAGAGAATCTCTTCTGTTAGCCAAGGAATCTACATGTACATATCTCTCACATTCTCATGTTTGGTGTGTGTCATGAGAGAGAGTCTGTCTTCCACTAGCACCTTACAGAGACAGGGTGTTTGTTGTCTGTTTTGCTGGTCCTGTAACTCAGACTCTCTCCATGATGACCTCCAGACATGTAGTGTAGCTCTGTACATGACTTTCCCACTGTCTCAGTTTCCACTCTCTCCACCAGGATGGAGACTCTGCAGTCATCAGAGCTGTAGTGGGTTATGAACCAGCCACTCTGAGGGAGCTAGTGAGGGCAGGGAGTGACCTCAACCTCCAGAACCAGGTGAGATACACAGTTACTGTGGACACTGCACCACATATCATCCCCAGTCCTCCATATTAGGAGGGACTCACTCCACTAATGATAGCTGTCAGGAGTGGGAGAACTGACATTACTAACATTCTACTGGAGGGAGAACACATCAACGTGGACATTCAGGAGAATGTGAGTAAACCTAGGCTACTAGCCTTGCCTTCCCTGTTCACATTCAGTATACCATTTACAGGAATAAGGGGTGTCAGCTTAGTGCTTACAAACGGAGATTGCTGAGGTCAAGGCTGAGGAAGGAGAGGAAGGGAGGCCTCATCGCACTGGGGAAGAGAGACCTCAGTATAACTATGAGGGAGTGATTAGTCTTCTGAGGGAACATTGCCAAGAAGAACCAACTGCCACAACCAGTCATCATGTGAGTATCACTCTGTGTGTAGGTTCTGGGTGTGGTTTAGAAGTATCCCTGTGTATATAAAGAGAGTTACATATTATGGTATTGGTTTAGTGTCGATCTGTTTGTGAGCATTGTGCATGTGTGTATACTAAACTATGATTCACTGTGTTCTGTAGGAGTCCTCAGACTGTGGCCATCAGTGCTCCTCCCACTCAACAGGACAGTTCTACTGTTGATCAGGACACTCCTCTTACTCAACAGGACAGCTCTACTGTTGATCAGGACACTCCTCCCACTCAACAGGACATCATTGATACCACCCAGATCACCTCTCATCAGAGAAGAGGAAGAAGAAACATATCTCAGGTCTGTGCACCTGTGTGCCTCCACATCAGACTGATTCATCCAACAAACACTGTACTCCTCTCTTTGTCCAGGCTCTGAGGAACCTGGTGAAAAGGTCAGGACAGATAGCAGTCCAGATCTTCAATGACCTGGACAGACGTCTCAAGTCAGCTGACAAGAAAGACCAGCCAGGGCTCAGAGCAGAGGGTAGGGGTCAGGGAAGCGAGGGGAAACAGAAAATGGACAATAGAAAGAGTCGTTCTGAAAACAGGAAACCATCCACTACTACTAGTACTGTCAAGTAGAAATGTGTCCATTACCATATTTCCGCTTTTTCACAATAATTAAAGTGTAGCATTATTATGCATTATTTTGCTTTATGAACACTTTTAAAAACATTTTGTCATGTGTATTTTGTCAATCAACATCTACAATATCTACAACATTATTATTGTGACAAGCAGCCTGCACTGTTTTCCATTCTCTGAGTTAACATTGGCTGCTGGATCAAAAACCGACCCAGCTTATGTTGTAGTATTGTGTGACCAGCCAGTCATAACCCTCGGCGCGCATGCGCAGCGAGGGTTACGGTAGTCGTTCTGTGTCTTGATCTCACTAATAGGCTACGAGGCGGCTTATGAGCGATACCAACAGCTTTTGCGGTACATGGGCTAGAAATTCAAAATGGCGATTTTGCTGAAACGACTGCGTTCGAGAGCGACAAACTGGCACGGTCGCTAACATCGTTGCGTGGCCGGCCCAACCATCAATAAACTGTGCGCATGCGTGTATTAGACGCGTCAACGAAGTTTTTAATTATGCTGGCTCACCTCGACCTGATCCGCTTACTCTGTGTACCTTGGAGGCACAAGAAGCCACAGCGAAGGGGGTGTATCGACTCCCGCATCTATTTTTATATCTGCTACTGTAGCTAGCCCGTGTCAGACTCTCCGCGGGCTGCTAGGGTAAACGCCATTAGCAGTACCGCGCATGCGCAGTTCGCCAAAGGTTTGCCCTTTAGTGCTTTTCATGTTATACAGTGATGCATAGCATGGGTAATTAACATCAATCATTGAATTTGTACTATAATTATTATCTTGAAAAAATATAATCTACATGATAATTTGAGGGTCAGGACTGGAGACAGTGATGTTCTTGTGAGGCAAGATGCGAGCTCCATTGACATACAGTTCATCCTGAATGATGACATCTTCACCCAGTACTGACACACTCTCCATCCTCACCTACAGAACAGAACAGTGGAACATCCTATAGGGACCCTCCGAGATAGGGACAATCTCTGTACAAAAGACAATTTTCAACCCCATGCTTGATAACCATTGGCCTCATAGTGTCCCTTGTTCTGAGGTTCCACTGTAAAGCACACAATCATAACTCGTAAATGACAGTAGGCAAATTACGGTAATTAGCTAGGGTCTTACCCACTTCCCCACAACTGATTGCCACCCTATTATACTGGACTGGACCCAGGCATGAGAGCAAATACGTGCACCCCTCAGGACAGTGGATGATGATAGACAAACACCTGTCAACATTAATGAAAAAATGCTTAGTGCAGGTAAATATGAGCAAGGTAGTATTAACACAGCCTGCAAAACCTGATTACTATGTATATACTACATCAAAATAAATATCCTAAGGCAAGCTACGTATTAGTGAACTTGGTCATAGGCATTGATTTACTAGACTATTTATAGACATAGTCTAATTAATTAGAAAGCAAAGAGATTCCACATAGTCGCCTGAACACGGAATTTTTCTATGACGAGAGTTGCCACATAACATTATGGATTCATGAAACCACGAATAAAAACTGCTCACTTTGTTAACCAAAAATGTGTTGCTAGTATGGTGACAATTAGTCCCCGGACCTAACGTAAGACCTATAGTCACTGTCAATGGCATGCATAGCTCACCTACAGACTGTTTAAGAAGTAAGGTAAGTATTCCGAGCATGCTCTGCTTGCTTCCAACCATATAATACTTTCTAATTCGCTGCAGGGTGATTCGTATATACATTCCACACCTGATTCTACAACAGAGAGAGTACTCGTGTGAATGAAATAGTACCATCTTCAATGATGACGTTGGGTCCAATGACGACACTGGGACCGATCCTGCAGCCCTGACCAATCTTAGCTGATGGATCCTGTGGCCAACAGAGAAACAAGAGCACCACAGAGTGTGATCTAGTAATTCACCACACAATAATTATACAAGTAGTGCGAATCCTATACAATAACCCTGTTACTTACTACCAGCTACTTACTACCAGCTACATATATACGTCTTACATATTATTATACACATATTCATTAATATAGCATGCTTGCTGAGGTTCTGAAACTTTTGTGACACGCTATTCTTCATTGGAGAATACTGCATGCATATCTATCTACTGTAGTCATCTCGTCACGTTGAATGGCACTAATCAGCTGATCTGCCAAGTCAACTGAGTAGCACTGTCCTGTCGCTTACAGATTGGTGATAGGCAAGGATTACCTCCTCCAGGGGCCACCGACAAGCGCTATATATAAACTTAGCTAAAACACACATTTACTCAGGTCAGAGTACACTTAATACTACAATGGACACCCCAACGCATACAGTCTACAGCTGTTGTACATAGTTACGCAATGTCAAGTACAGCAGTTAAATGATTCGCACTCTATAACTCACTTGCATATTCTCACCAATTTTAGTCTTTCTTGCATGCATTTGTACAAACTCATATTATTATACAACAGAAAGAAGCAGCATAAGTTTCAACTCACCACGAGGACATTTCCAACAAAGGAGTCTCCCTCGGCCAGTCTCTCTGGAGACGTCTGTCTCACGTGGGACAGGTAGAGAGCCATCCCTCGCAGGAAGTCCTTTGGCTGACCAATGTCCATCCAGAACCCTGACACAGGGCAGAGCATTTCTAAACTAACAAAGTATTAGCTATGACATGTACATGCCATTAACATTTCTGTGCTCTTTTAACTCGTGATGCAACCCTACTTGTTAATACAGTAGGTATAATAACTACAATTACAGGAATAGCAAATGTTTTTTTACCCTCTCTCTCTGTGTGTGTGTGGGTATAATAATTATACAGATGATATACCCTCCAGGTCGAAGGCAAACAGCTGTCCATCCTGAGCCATGAATGGAAACACCTCTTTCTCCAGTGACATAAACTTCACCTAAGACATGAGGAGGGGGGAAGGAGGTTCAAATCAAGTGCTGAACCTGTCGATATCTATCGTTGGTCATTGTGTTTGTGTATTTCAGAGGGATAGAATGAAGGATGAGAGACTGACTCACAAAAGTAATGAAAAGCACCAAAGTGCCAACCCTCGGCAAACTGCGAATGTGCGGTACCGCTAATGGGTTATTGGCGTTTACTCGTGGTCTCCCGCTAGTCAGAGAGTCTGACACTGGCTAGCTACAGTAGTAGATAGCATGCGGGAGCCGATACACACCCTTCGCTGTGGCTTCTTGTGCCTCCAAGGTACACAGAGTAAGTGGATGAGGTCGAAGTGAGCCAGCATACTGCGTCTAATAGCACCGCTTATTGATGGGTTGGGCTACGCAACGCTGTCCGCGACCGTGTCAGTTTGTCGCTCTCGAACGCAGTCGTTTCAGCAAAATCGCCATTTTATTTTTCTAGCCCATGTACCGCTAAAGCTGTTGGTATCGCTCATAAGCCGCCTCGTAGCCTGTAGTGCGAGAATAGTCGTAGACAGACAGACAGACAGACAGACAGACAGACAGACAGACAGACACACAGACACACAGACACACAGACACACAGAACGACTACCGTAACCCTCGCTGCGCATGTGCGCCGAGGGTTAATAATGCTGCGCATGTGCGTGGGTGTTATTCATAGGTTTCCATCAGTTCTTAATGTGATTGGAGCACCAGAAAAGCACATGTTGATACACATGTGCAGTGGTAAGCCCCAAGGCATCTTTATCATAAGTGCTCCACACTGCCCTGGCTGGCTCCACCAGACACACTATTGTACATCCAGTCAATATGTCCATTAGGCTGATGACACAAGTTTATACAGTGGTTTGGTGGTCAGTGAACTCATACTCTACCACAGGCTGCATGCATAATGTTTATCTTAATATCCATGGCTAGTTAACCCTTGGCGCTCATGCGCAGCGAGGGTTACAGTAGCTGGGTCTGTCTGTCTGTCTGTCTGTCTGTTACTCTTCATCTCACTTCTCGAGTGTTCGTTCGTCTCACAAAGGATACCACCTACTGAACGGGCAATGAAGGTCAGAATTTTGAACAGTTCTCTGAAACTGTTCCATTGCAAAGCTAGAGCGCGCAAAAGCCAATATGCAAATACACAACGGACGGGAAGGCTTACCACGGTCCGATCGATCCGCGTGCTCTGCGTACCTCGGAGGCACCAGAAGATGCAACGCAGGGCGTGTATCGCCTCTCGCATGCACTCTAGTAGTGTAGTTAGCCCGCGTCAGACTCTGCGCGAGCTGGCAAGAGACCACGAGTAACAGCTAAAACTAAACCCAGCCCATCAATTAGTGGTACGGCGTGTGCGTTTACTTACGCGTGCGCGTCACAGTGCGCCGAGGGTTTGCACTTCAGTGCTTTTCATTTTCTACCATAAGGACTGTAGCTAGTAACATTGATGGTGGTTTCATAAGTCCCTAAACTTTTTCTTAGCTCACTTAGATGCAATTTTAACACAACTTATTGTGTCCAGAGTATTCTTTTTTCATAAACGAAGGTCATGAAAGTTATTGGTAGTTGAAAACACGCTATATACAGTATTAGGTAACATGGCTAGGGGGTTAGAGTATAATGGTAATGGACAGGGCAATCGTCCAATAATCAAGCCAGTATAGCCATTAAAATTGCTCTGTGGCCAATTTCTTGCGTGATGTGGCAGAATACATGGAACAGACAGACAGAGAGACACACCCACGAACCAAGTACTGTAACTCTCGCTGTGTATGTGCACTGAGGGTCAATAAGACATGTCACTCCTGGTTTTTACACGCAACACACATACCTGTATTCTCTTGAGGACAGTTGGGCTGAAGATGTATATGCCGGCATTGATCTTGTTGGAGACAAAGATCTTCGGTTTCTCCACGAACCTGTCAATCTGCCCACTGGTTGGGTTGTACACCACCACGCCATACTTACTTGGCTCCTCCACCTTTGTCACCTGCACGATGTGTAACACATCATAATGTATTATGTAATGTTCAGTGTTCTACCCAAGATAATTATAAGGCTTATGGGGAGCAAACAATGTTTGAGTGCTCAGGGCAACAGGAGAGTGATGAAGCGCGCCCCCTAAGGGGGTCTGGGGGCATGCTCCCTCAGGAAAAAAGTTTGAAATTTAGGACATTCTGAGTGTTTCTGGTTCAATGTGGCAAATAATATGGCCCCTCGCCAGGCCTACATAGTCAAGCATAATTATACATACAAGCTTGATTGGGTATCTCCAGGTAGCTAAACTTCAAGTGTAAATGTGTCGAGGTGGCACCGCTGGCTATTATCTTTAACGCTGTCCGGGCCGCGCCGATCCAACGAGAGACCGTTGCCGCTGCCGCGTGCCACGCGTGCCTCCCCTTCACTATCAACTATGACCATCCAAGGAAAATCACTAGCCCATCTAGGATCAATACCTGTTTTTCTATGTTTACACCGAGCTCTCACAAGTAGCGCCACCTGCAAGCCGCTTCGCCATACATATACCGCTGCCGCGTCGAGCCAAAACCAACACGTGATATGGGTGTGGCTAATGATTTACGCACATGCGCACACGTAAAACCTGCCGCTCGAACGCTTAGCGGCCCATATCCCTTTCGTGGATAACGCATAGCGGAGCGCTAAGCCAAAACGGCCAGGAGAAAACACTGATGTTGTTGGATATCCCTCGGCAACTGCCACGTATGAAGCTACAGGGGCCTTTACAATCTATCAAATACTATTCCCTTGATAGATGCAAAGCTTAGTATTGACAAAATTTTATAGTTTACACGTATTTAATTCACCATGCATAATGTAGGAAAATAACGTAATTAAGACAACTAGGTGGGCCAGCCATTAATGAAATTATTGTGACATGTATGACATCACATGGGTGTGTCAGCTACACAGATTGTCAACTAGGTGCCCACATTGCTACAGGTTTCCCGCCAGCTCTCCACTAACCACAATGGTTCCCTCCTTCCCGTGCGAGTGGTGTAGTTCTAACATCTTCTTGAAGGGGTAGCTGCAGATGACGTCACTGTTCAGAACAAAGAAAGGCTCAGCATCCTTTTCCAGTATCTCTCTTGCCAGACCCAGTGGCCCAGCTGTAAGAGACAAACAGTTGAAAACAGAGTGGAGTAAACAGGCAGATGACTGCATGTTTTTTCCACATGGTCTATAAACCATCAGTGAACTGTTTTTCTAGCTATGCATAGAGTTGATGTGCAGGCATGCAATGAGAAGTACAGTGCAAATGAATGAAAACCACATGTACAGTTATGCAGGTATATAGTAAGGTATATACAGAGCCGAAAAATGCTGCATAGCATGTGTGATGAAATGATCTGTAAACAACACAATGGTTGTGTTTCAATTACGTTTCTACGAACGATCACAAAGTGACTAGAGAGAAACAGAATTACCAGTTCCCAGAGGTTCTTGTTCGTGTGAGAGTGTGATGGTGATGCCAAGCTGCCGGGGAAAGAGGTACATAGGGTTAGAAACACAGGAGAGAACAGCATCTCTTGTTGTACCACAGAGCAGGAAAATGACAATGTTTTGTTTCTGCTAGCATGACTTTCCACACCACAAGTGTTCAGTAATGGATCTCACACATAATACTTCATTAGGGTCGAGAGAGTTCTACTGGACCGTCTTATTTCATTAAAGACTTAGTTTTGAGTCACGAAATTTGCTAGTCAGCATTGTTCTTAGCTCGTTACCCATGGAAGAGTATGCAAGAGTAAGCAATAACGTATTTTGTGACTCAAATTAGTCCTAAATGAAGTAACAATCTCTCTCCCATTCTCCCTCATTAGCAGGAAAATGCACTTGCACCATTAGAAATACTGGACACAGTGGGGCTACCTCAAGCAGGCCACATCTATCCACTTGACTCTTACACTCACCATATCAAAACCACAAACCTTCCACAAAACCACATGCAGCTTACACCTGCACTGCCAGGCAAGCACTATCCTCAAAGCTGACATGTTCACTCCCATATTATGCACTTTGTGCCATCCAATGATTGTAGTATAATTATGCGTCAACTACGAGGTAGAAAGGCAAAGGCACAACAAACAAGTTACAATACGACTTACATACAGTAGGATAGCTTGAGAATAATTATCATTCAAGAAAAATGTTAAAAAATTAGCATCGACTGTGGCCCTAGCTGAGAAGCCCTCCACTGGTCCATTGAGCAGTACATTGAGTGTCCATATTAGCAGATGCGCGGGCTTGAACCAGACTCGGAACTGAATATATACCATTTGTGTGACAGCAGTAAATCGGTGAGATGATATAGAACTCAAAGGCTTATATAGTAAAACTACAGACGTTCTAGAATGTTCTAGCAGAGACTATTGTAGTGTGCACATGATTGGGATGTTCTGAGGTTTCTAAGGTGTATTCTTAAACCTGAAAATTACATTGTTTTCAACACTCCCGCTCAATTGAAAGGTTGAGAAACTGTAGGTAGTGATTCAATTCCCATTGACAGACGAAGAGTCTCAAATCGTCCACGAGGAAGTGGTTTTGTAAGTAGGTCGGCAATCATCTCTTCAGTCGGACAGTAGTGTAGACTAACGATATCTTGTTCCACAGCTTCACGCACGTAATGGTACCGAATATCAATGTGCTTTGTTCTGGCGTGTGAAACTGGATTCTTGGCCATTGCAATAGCTCCTTGATTATCTTCCATGACCATTATTGGCTCATTAAAGTTTGCTTTGAGATCATTGAACAATCGTCTCATCCAAACTGCTTCTTGAGTGGCTTTGCTGAGAGCTACATACTCTGCTTCCGAGGTTGAGAGAGATACCGTAGGTTGTTTTTTGCTTAACCAGCTAACAGGGCTCCCAGACATAACAAACAGATTTCCTGTTGTGGAGTGACGATCGTCCTGATCACCTGCCCAATCAGCGTCCGAATATCCAATTAGAGCAGCATCTTCTTTTCTTTCGTACTTCAGGGCAAGATCTACTGTTCCTTTCAGATATCGAAAGATCCTTTTAACGGCTGTCAAATGTGATTCATTGGGCCTGGTGTTAAACCTTGATACCGCTCCCGCAGCCTGAGCAATGTCGGGACGAGTAGCGTTGGCAGCATATAACAGGCTGCCTATCATTGACTGGTATCGGATGGGATCCACAGCTTTGCTAACTCCATCATCCTTTTCGAGTTTCACATTGACATCTGCAGGTGTAGTAGCGGAGTTTGCTTGCGAAAGACCATATTTCTCTAATATTGCTGATATATACTGTCGCTGATGTAGCCATAGGCATTTCCTTTCGTTATCTTGGTCGATAGTTATCCCGAGACAGTAGTGGAGAGGCCCAAGGTCCTTCATCTTGAATTTTGCTGCCAGATTTATTTTCACCTGCTCCATTTTTGCTGGAGTCTTGGTGATGATTATCAAATCATCAACATACACTGCAACAATGGTTACACTTGTGTCTTCAGTTTGAATGAAGACACAAGGATCTGCTGAGCTTTGCTGGAAATGAATTGATTACATGTGCTGTCTGAATGCGTTGTTCCAGCACCGTGGAGATTGCTTCAACCCATACAGCGATTTTTTTAGCTTGCAGACGAGATTCTCCCTTCCTGGCTGAAGGTAGCCCAGTGGTTGTTCCATATAGATTTCTTCCTTGAGGTTGCCATTGAGGAAAGCTGTTACAACATCCATCTGATGGATGAGCATATCATTTTGCACAGAGAATGCTAACAGTGCTCGGATAGATGAGAAACGAACCACTGGTGAGAAAGTTTCGTCATAGTCAATTCCGTACTTTTGAGCATACCCCTTTGCCACCAGCCGTGCTTTGGGTAATTTCACGAGATCCCACGTATCATTCTCAATCAGTGAGTGATACTCTGCCTCTGCTGATGCTCTCCACTCCTCAGCAAAGTTACTTGCAAGTGCATCTTCTATGCTCCTTGGCTCATCAATTTGACTTTCATCCAGCCCTACAGAGACTACATCAGCATACTCATCGATTCCATATCGGACTGGTACACGTCTTCGCCGCTCAGGGTAGCGATGCTCTTCTTTCCTTTCACCTTCTGGATCAACGTCCTCTGGTCTGACTTCACTTTCTGAGTCTATGTAAACATCTTCCATAGAGTTTTGTTGCTCCACCTCGGCTACTTTGTGACCAAAATCTACTTCATTGAAGGTGACATCTCGCCGTATGAAAACTTTAGAAGTTGTTTCATCAATCAATCTGTATCCTTTAGACTGGATACTGTATCCGACAAATCTGAGTTTCTCGGCCTTCTTGTCCAGTTTTGTCCGCTTTGAGTCAGGTATGTGGGAATAGGCCATGCAGCCAAACACCCTCAGATGGCTCAAATCTGGCGTTCTCCCATACCACTGTTCATAGGGTGTTTTCTTTTCTTCAAATGCTGTTGTTGGTACCCGGTTTCTCAGGTACGCAGCTGTAGCAACTGCTTCAGCCCAGTAACTGTCAGGCAATCCAGCATGAGCTAGCATCGACCTAGCTGACTCCATCAGGGTGCGGTTCATTCTCTCAGCCACTCCATTTTGTTGAGGGGAATAAGGAACTGTTAGCTCATGTCGTATTCCTTTTGTCTTGAGATAGGCTTCGAACTCTTGCGAAACATATTCCCCACCATTGTCTGACCGTAGTGTGCACATTCGTTGACCACTATCAGTTGTTGTGGCTGCTTCAAATTCTTTGAACTTGTCTAGCACCTCTGACTTATGTCGCATGAAGTAAACACTGCAGCATCGAGAGTAGTCATCAATGAAGGTGACGAAATATTTTCTTCCTCCAATTGACTCAGTGGGCATTGGCCCACACACGTCGCTATGC